AGGAAGGAAGGAAGGAAGGAAGGAAGGAAGGAAGGAAGGAAGGAAGGGAAGAAACTGAGTCTTAGAAATGATAGATAATTTGTCTACAATCACACAGTTTGTAAGTAGCTGAGTCAAGATCAGATCACAGATCTGTTCGGATTTCAAACTGGACTTAGTGACCAGTTTGTGGATTCTGTAATGCTGAACAGAGTTCCTTGATACTAGATTAGATATTAGAAAATAAACGTGCATTTCTGACTGTGTTAGGTTTATCTCTGAATTTTGTTTTCATGAAGCACAGTTTGAAGAACTCTTGCACTTGTTTTTTCATTAAATTAAAACCCTATAATCATTCAACTACACCAGAGAGTACCTCAGTCAGCTCAGAAAACATGACTGTTCCATGAGAACGTAGTTTGAGAATTGCCATAATTAAAGCCTCACTCTGAAGCATTTTCCAACACCAATAGCTGGATTCTCCACACACCAACTGGGTGTCCGACAATTCAATTCCGTTCTGACACTAACTGCCCAGAGTTAGCACAGACTCCACAGCCTAAGGGCCCAGTGCCACAAGACTATCCCTACTTCAGATGTCAGTCACAAATCCTAGACCTCTTGTACTTCTGGCCAACTGGTTGTTAATTGAGGGCTTCTATGATCCCTCTTCAGGTTCCACAGTTTGCTCAAACAGCTTATAAAACTCAGGGAAACACTTTTCTTATGTTTACCAGTCAATAATCATATTACAAAAGATTCTAGTGAACAGTCAGATAAAGAGGTTCATAGAGTGAGGTTCAGAAGGGCCCTCAGCACAGGAGCTTCTGTCTCCATAGAGTTGGGGTGCACCACCATCCTGGCACATGGATGCTTTTACCAGCCCAGAAGCTCTACAAACCCTGTCATTTAGTGGTTTTTCAATACTTCAGCATAATTGATTAAATCATAGGCTGCTGGTGTTTAGCTCAGTCTCTTGTCCCTTTCCCCACCTCAGAGGTCTGGGGTTGGGGCTAGAATTTCAAGCCTTCTATGCATTGGTCTTTCCCAGGACCAGCCTCCATCCTGAAGCTACCTTAGTGTCCCAGAGACACCAGTCATCATTAGCATACAAAAGTAGGGAAGGACCAAAATTTGTTTTTAATTAATATCACATTCACCTTGCTCAGACTAATTCACCTTGCTCAGACTAAGTATTCCAGAATACTTAGAACTTGCAGCTCTGAATGTAGAGACAATAAACAGCTTTCAAAAAATGTATACTAGAAAGAGTGTGAGGCATCAGAAATAACCAATCATCCTTAGAATTTTATTTTATTTTATTTATTATTATTATAGTGACTGTATCACTGTACTCCAGCCTGGTAACAGAGTGAGACTCTGTCTCAAAAAAAAGAAAAGAAAGAAAGGAAAGAAAGGAAAGGAAAGGAAAGGAAAGGAAAGGAAGGAAGGAAGGAAGGAGAGAGAGAGACAGAGAGAGGAAAGAAAGAAAGAAAGAAAGAAAGAAAGAAAGAAAGAAAGAAAGAGAGAGAGAGAGAGAGAGAGAAAG